ATTGCCAGTCCTACGGATAACCCACTACTGTTGTAGACTACAGGACTATATTGGATAATTTTGCTGAATTCACATACCTAATATGTTTATATAACAATGGAAACCCATCTCTGACAAAACTAAACAAAAAAGGGGGTACAATTGGAGGACCATTTTGCATCTGTATATACAAAATAGTTAGGATAGATATACAGCTACTTTCTCTTAATTCAATGAGAAGGAAGATTTGTACTGATAGTGTTTGGACAGGATATCATGTCTGCATCTTGTACTATGAATAACCACTACAAAGACAACAATATGCATTGTATTATATATTGAAACTGTCTTATTAATCGATTTTGAAACTGTCTCATTGCTATTTGTTTGTTAATAAAATTAATAAAGAAAAGATAGTTGCATACAAAATATAAAATTTATGCAATTATGGAGCATGAGAAAACACAAGAATTGCAGAAACAGTCAAGGCACCCTACTTTGAAAGTCAAGGCCTTGAAAAAAATTACAGCAAGAGAGAGAAATTACTCTCAGCAGCAATTTATGCCAAAGTTTTCATTTTTATTATGAATGTGACTAGAAACAAAAGCTGAAGAAAATATATTAAAGTGTATTCAATAAGACAAAATAGAAAGGTAGAAATAAATTTGTTTGAGGGTAGCTACACCCTGAAATAAATTCACAGACTGTTGTAAGTATATTTCCTTAATGAGAATAGCCTAATTATCAATAGTTCGTATCAGTTAAAATGTTAAACTGCTGCATGAATAGTACAATAGTTTCAGGAAATATTTAATGTGATAAAAATTAGAAACTATTGGTTTGAATATATAATTTCATTCCAGATGTTTCACTTAATGGATTTTGAATGCAATGACTATGATTTTAACTCAGAGATAATAAATTAAGTCATAACACATTTTGATAGCTGTTCACTAAAAGGAAGCACGGGGGCAGGACTTGATGTGCTTTGCATCTGGACATGTGTCTGTATCTAAACATGGGCACAGCTCAACAGGCCCAGGCTGAAGAAGCAGGTGTGTGTCCCTGCACTGTGCCTGGAAGTGTGTCCTCAGTGAAGACAACACTTCATGTCCACTTATGGCAGAATACCATCTTAAGATTTAGAGAAAAAAATGAATACGGCAGCCTTTAGCCAACAGAAACAAGTAAGGATTTCACCCTAGCAGCCCTCCAGCTCCCATCAGTACTTAACTTTCAATAATTATTAACTCAACATCTAGTTATTCTTTGTAAGATCACTTCTGCAAAATTACAGCTTAGTTTTTTATTCTATATATCATTCAAAATTTCTTAAGTATGAAGTTGCATCATTTCCCTTATACATGTTTCAACATAAATATTTCCAGACTCAATCTGGGAAAAGCCTATAGTTGATCTTGTATTTTGACCACTGTTTTGTGGTTAAGGTATACCATATTTTAAAGTAGTGTATTTTCTTCTCGGGCATCTTCTTCCATCTCAGTTGGTCTGTGTCATCCATATTAAGGGGCTAAGTGGGAAATCCCCCCTTGCTCCACTCTCTCCTCTGGTGAATGTGCTCTTTGCACTTGAAGACCTAAGATGAGATGGGACGTCCCCACCATCAACTTTGTTCAAAATTGGAGAAATATTTCCCAATGACTTCAGAAATCATATAAATTACTTGGCTTTGAAGTCAGTCAGATTTATGCATGAATTGTGTTTCTAGAATTTATTTGCCTTTTAACTTTGAGAAATTCAGTTAACTCCATAGGGGGAAAACTTTCTTTATATAAACAGGTATAACAACAATATTGTGCACCACTGAATAATGGGGAAGACTGAACCATAAAATACATGTACGATTCATTGCAGAGATTTAATAAAAGATAATTTCCTTCTATTCCTATCACTTCTGTTTGTTGGTCTTCATTTCTTGTCTTACTTCCCAGTGTCAGGGTCAATCCGTTGTTTTGTTTTTAATTTTTTAAAGAATATGAATTTAAAAAATAGAAACAATACAAAATTTCATTAAGCAAAGAAATAGGAATTCAACAATGGTTGTTGTATTGTACGATGTTATCTTCAAATTAGTTGTTTAGGTTAGCAGGTATAAACCTACAAAATTGGTTTAAAAAAATAAAAAGTATGAGAAATTAAAAAGAAAGAAGTAAGAATTAAAAAAAAAATTAAGCAGTAACTGTTGATCTGTTGATTTTTTGGCCATTGATTTCACAGCCAGTGATCTGACCTTAGCTGGTGCCAGAACTGCTCCCTCACCTTCATCTGTGCTGGCTGTGATGGAAACCTCTGCCGGCTCCTTCCCATCCTACAGTGACACTGCAACCTCGCTGCCTCTGCCCTTTCATCTTTAGGAGCTTGAAAAACAATGTTATGGAAGTGTGCATGAATGGGGATTGTTTGCTGTTTTTCTTTTGTTCTGTTTTCTGCAGAGGTAAGGAAATGGGAACTCTGCTAACCCTGGCATGCAGGAACAATAATTGCTTTGATGAAGGTGTGTTATGTGTATCTCAGAGGAAAGAAAATACCTGGGCTGTGGGTAGGCAGCTTCCCCCTGAGATAACCTTGCTACAAGAAACGTACATCAGAGAATCTCAGGACAACTCTAGTGTCCTAGACGCTGCACTGCTGTCAGGATCGCTACGTGAACAACAGAGGAAATAGCAGTACCATATTCTCCCTAGGCCTCAAGGATTAATTGTTTAATATAGTTATCCCTAGCCTTTAACCTTCATAGGATCATGTATGG